GAGGAGTGAGATCGTCGTCACAGACGACGATACTTCCAAAGATCACCTTCGGTCGTCATGAAGACGAGCTGTGAAGTCGCGCAGTTTTGTTCTGCCGCTTTGGAGGGCTTTCTTTTACTCTCCGCATGGTGCTGCTGGAGAAATATCTGCGTCCTTTTTGTTGAAAAGAAGGCCTCTGATGCCCATTAGAGGAGTTTGACGCCCTCCTAGATTGTTGGCCTACCCTCCGATTGCTGTGGGTGAAGGAGTGATTCTCTTGACTTGCTTCACTGTTTCTATTTCGAAAGCATATGCTTGCGTGATGCTTTTGCCCACAATGAGAACAGTCCTGTTTTTGACAATTAAAGCTGTTGTGTTCTAGAGAGAAGCACTTCCAACATCTGTTTTCATCCTTCAAAATGTTTCTGCGACTTATTGGGTCCTTCACCGTTCGACATTTTGTCGATACGTGATTGCTCCTATAGCAAAACATACAAGATTCGCCAAAAGTGGTAGTCTGCCTCTGGCTTGATAGATTAGCCTTACTCTTAAAGACGATGACGTTGACACTGGGAGTAGAGAGCGAAGTGGAGCGACCAGTCGAGACGGCTGCAGGACGTAGAAGTGACAGACAGGCCAGAGTCGACGCCGACTCTGCATCCCTAGCGGCTTCGCGAACATTCGACCGTTCCGCCAAGCGCGCCAGGACCGCCGCGCCCAACCATAAACGCGACCCTTTAAAAAGAGTCGTACGAAAGTCACGACAAGGCGGACCCATGATATGATGGTCCGCACACAGGCTGCCATATCCCGTATACTAGACTACCTCCTCTATTACGTCCCGAGTAAGACGTCCATTTACTCGCAGCTCCATCCTATCCGTCGTTAATCAAGACGTAGGTTCCTCTCTTCTTTCCTTCTTTTTTTCCTTTATATATAATAAACATATTATAATTACTATTATTGTCGTTCTCGCTGCTTATCCTCTGAAGTATACTTATAAATCCACTGAACCACCACAGCGCGGCAAATTACGATTCTCTTGTCACATACCCGTTCTTCACTGCTCTCTCGCGTCGGCTTTGGTGTTTCTAATGATTACTTGCTAACCTCACACATCTCCACCTTTCGTCTGATGCAGAGGGTTCATCCCACCCTGCAGCAACACCTTCCCCCATCGTCTGAAAAAGCTTGCTCTGTGAACTTGCCAACCGCGTTTTTCCACACTTTGCTACCTTAGACGACCAACAGTTCTTACTCTGAGCGCCCCTCTAACCTTTATCGCGCCAGGACCTCCACGAATTATTGTGTACCGCAAACTCGTCGTCACACGTGGTTGCTTCGCAAGGTGACCCTTGATCTCCTAACATTGGACACTAATTGCAAGCTTTGTTCCAGTACTCATGACTGCATGACACGGGAAAAATGATGCAATGCCAAGGTTCTGCCTGTGTGTTTCACCCTGCCAGTAATTCCTATCTTTTTCACTAGCCATGACCTGCAACTCCACAGGCTTCCGCCGAAAGAGCCTTTGATCGGCACGTACCGCTCTCTTCTAGTTCGCTGCGGACGGTTGGGCGTGTCAGCCAGTATGAGTGTGCACAGCGTCAAGGCCGTTCTCTGCCTTCTTGTTGAAGCGCGCATGCGACAAAAAGTGGTAGAAAACGAATACGATCGATATGATACAGTCATATCATTTGTTCGCTTTAAAAACTGGTGGAGAACGGGTTTGGCACCGTGCCAAACGCAGCCGCACTGACACGCCCAACATTCCGCAGTGAACTATAGTGTATAGCAGCGTTGAGCCTTTGCTGCTACGTACGTCGTCACGCTACCGTTGCTATCGACATCTACGCGCATCATCGCGATGTCTGAACGCTGCTTAGTCTTTCTCGTAGTGATTTCATCAGTATTCTCTCGAGCAGACGCTGATACTAATGGTGAGTTCCCAGCGATCAGAACACGTCCTGCAGTCGGGGAAATTTTTTGCAAAATGCGAAATGCGACTCCCCCCATCCCAGCAACCATCTACCTAGATCTCAGTTCCTTTTCGAAAATTCCTCCACATTCTCCCCCAAACTGCCGCCAAGGTTGAGGGGGGGGTAAAGGTGTGCGTGTAAATAGAGCATTTGAAACACGTACAACCGAGAAAAGTCATTAACCGAGAAATTTCTTTGCGAAGGCAAATACGATCCCATTCCATCGACCAAACAGGACCCTGCTCGCTGGGGATGCCGACGTACGACGCGCCTAGTAGTTGTATTGATCATCATCGACTACCTATGGGATCGGGGTCACCCGTCTGCCAGAGGACATAGGCCTGCACATCATCGACTTTCTTCATCATTGGCGCTTCACTGATTTATCGTTCACCTTTTTTCTCAGAAATTATGTTGTTTATCTATTGGCGTTCTCATCGGATCAAGGCGCATTGGTTGGGGATTTTGATCGAGTCCGTACACCCCCTCCCTCCTCCATAGGGGTAGCCTGATATAATTCCCCCTATACTACACATGAAACAGGAAAAATCTCGAAAACTCAGCTCAGTAACCTCTCCCACCAAGAGGCCAAAATACGACCCCCCCCCCCGAGCAATTACACCCCTTTACACCGTCCGTCCCTGGAACAAGAAAAATCAACTATCAAAAAATCTCTTCAGCCCAAACACGACCCCACCCCCCTGTTGAGGGATCCCCACCCTCGTGCTTATATTTTTGCTAGAGTTCGCGAGATAAGTCCTTCAAATACATTTTTTATGACTTTCTTGCAACTATGTTTTCAATGCTTATTATTGGTGAAGATAAGCATCAGTGATATGTCGACCGAGCATTTTGTTTATTTAAATTGCGACGAGCTCTACACTCTAGTTCTCTGCGGACGGTTGGGCGTGTCAGCCAGTATGAGTGTGTCACCCTATCAAAGCCGTTCTCTGCCTTCTTGTTGAAGAGCGCATGCGACAAAAAGTGGTAGAAAACGAGTAATACGAAGGATATGATACAGTATTGTCACTTGCCCGCTTCAACAACTGGTGAGTTTGGCACCGCGCCAAACGCAGCCGCCACTTGACGCCCAACGCAACTGTTCTCCATCTTGCAGCTGAGAGCTGAACCTGATACTGGGAACATAACCTTGTGTTTGATGTGTTGTTTTGCTTTCAGAAACTCTTCAAATGCAGTGGGACAGTACTGAGGAAGGAGAATCTGAATTCGTTGGAGTCAGCGGCCCTGGTAGGACGATCTGACAACAGACGTCAAACGTCTCAACGAGTGCCAGTTTTACAGGTAAGCCTCCGTATCAAAAAGAAATCTATATGTGTGTTGACAATCTTAGGCTATGTAAACTTCTCAGTGGGCCTGGTAAGCACGCGAGGGTACGTAATCATCGGAAGAATCACATCAGGGTGTGGGGGAGGGGGCGTTTGCACCTAGGGGGTTTGTAGTTGCCGATAAGAGTTTTTTCTGAACGGCGACAAAATTTCCGGCTGTTGACTTTTCTCAGTTTTTCACGTTTCGTAACACTGTATGTCCCCTTCCCTCTCAGGTGCTGGTGCCGCCAAACCTATTGAATCACTGTATACTAATGGTTTCGAAAAATGAGGAGAAGTTTTTAGGAGTTGATTGGTGACTACTCATCCCCGCCCGACACGACACCAGTTTTTTCCTGGGAAAAACAGGAAAATTCGAAAACTGGGAGAAGTGTTAGGAAGTTGGGAATGTTCGGAAGATATTGTAGGAAGGATGAGAAAGGGGAATCGTACCAAAGGAGGAAGTTTTTTTGTGGGGGGGGGGTCAAGTCGATTTATCGCTGCCGTGTCGCATACAAGACGATGCTGTACCCTGGCCGCGTTCCTTAACTCAGGCGATTCGATCGCGAAGTGTTAATAACTATGACCGATTGCGCTCCCTCGCTATTCGTTGTACTTGTGGAACGGTCGGAAGAATTCTTTTCTGAATTTGGTTAAGTAGTTTCAGCGGAACAAGCGGTGGAGCGCTCCAGTAGCAGTCGCGCGATTCTCAACTGGCGAGAACTTGGCGTATTGAAGTATACTCATGATAAATTATTGTTTATCTCATCGTTTGAAAAGGTGAATTTGCATGTTTTTAGTGATGTACGGAGGAGAAGATCCTGCGCTTCGCTCGCTCTTCTTGCCGTTCACACTTGGATGTGACGGACGAAACCAAAGATCCGGTCAGTAATCGTTTCCCAGCTTCGGCCTGCTCTGCTGGCTTACTAACTTTGAGAAAAGCATTGATTTCACGCGCCTGTTATCAATACTATTTCTTTAGGCCCTGAAGGGTGCTGATAAGATATAAAGGCATCAGCACTAGTTCCAGAAATCGCTTTTTGATCGAGCAGTTTTGCTGTTTTACTTCGACACTTAACAACTTTTCATGATACCTTTTTTGATGGTTTATTGATTCTACGCGCGCGAAATCAATACTAGTTTTAAAATACATGAGACTTCAGTAGCATGGCCTAATAGTCACAATATGTGAATAATGATATCATTGTTTAACACTCATCGTACGACTTTCGCCGCATCGTCCATTCGAGGAATGTGAACTTATTGCCGAGCCTTACGGTGTATCAGATGCGCAGAGTGAATTTTGGTATTGCTGAAGCGGACAAGAAGGTGAGAACGCTAACCGCTGTGATACTTCGTTGGGCTTCAAATCTAGCTAAAAGGTTCTGTTGAAGTTTTCGTAGTATTACTTGTTCAAGGGTGCTGTTTCAGTCACACGATGGGAGTGTGCGCTTCAGCTGAAAATCGGAGACAAATACGCCAAAAAGGTCTGCTTCTACAGATCGATGCCGATTTTTCTCATTTTATCGTAGAATCTGATCGTTCCTCAACAGTATACGTCAATTAACTAAAATGACTATTCTAGAACGGTTCTTCATTCTGGCAAAGCCATGCACAGGTCGTTTGCACGCTAATGAAGTTTGAGCTCTGGAAATGGAGAAAGCGTAATCTAGTCAGGTGGGTATTCTGTACCACAGTAAATTCAGGCGTTATTTCGATGTAAGAACGCATTTTGCTGCTGAGAACGCAAGGCACCTGAAACCGGAGCAGCTTACGTCAGGTGTTGTAAATTTTTTCTTTAGCTCAAAAGTTGGAGGCGCGGATCGGGTGAACCAGTTTCTTTGTGCAAAACAGGATTGCAAAGTATTGCAGCAAATGACGTACCTGTACTGCACTATACCTGTAATTATAACAGAAGTTTATACATGTAGTATGTCCATTTAGACCCTCCCCTCCTTCTCCAAACTTTCTTTTCAGAAATTCAGTTTTGTGATTATCTCGTTGTTTTCATATTTGCACCGCTTATGCCACTTCATTACTCCAACTTACTTCTCCGAGTTTCTGCGCTGCTTCACTTTTGTGCCCTGTTCGGCCTAGGGGAAAGGGCAATTCGCACTTACGTTAGCTCCTTTTGCCATTTCATGCTAACAAACAGTTCTCATTTTGGTGAAACCTGTACACTCGAGTGAAGCTGCGGAATGGTGCAAGTGAGACATTTTGCTCACAAGAATATACAGATCTTTAGAAGCTGTCCTGTACAAACATCGCTTGTGCCTTTTGGTGCCTTAGATTCTAAGTGCTAAGAATTCTATCACCTGTTTGTTGCCTTCTTATTCGGCCTATTATTTCATATGCCTGGTTCAAATTTTAATTTTAATCTTGAAATAGATTACTTGTGATGGTTGAGCCTATGGATTTTAAAAGCAGGGTGCGCTCTCCCGAAGATGCCCTTGAGAAACAAGTAATAGAATCGCGGAGCTCTGCTCGCCCTTTTTCATCTGAACGAATTTTCAGAAATTGCTGCTATTTCAGCCTGCTCATGTACACCGCTAGCTGTCGATAATCGACCGACGGCAATACGTACTGGTGGCAGCTTTTCACGGTAATGTATTACACAATTATAGCTGGAAGCAGGTCATTACTTCCGAAACTGTGGTATCACCTGGCACTCCGCGATTTCTTTTCCCTGAAACGCTCAGGCGAAAGGGCATCGTGATGACACACTTTGGCAGTCGGGTGTCCTTTTCGGAACTAATACCACACTCCTCTGAATCTCTTGAGCTTAATTAATTTCCATTTTTACAGGAATAGGATGCGATCCATCGATTCGGTCCTAAAAAGCATTTTTTTGGCTCCTGAGCTCTTGACTGGCCATCATTGTTTTTCGCATTACAAGTGGTGGACGGAGAAGGTATCGTTCCTTGGTTTCTCAAATTCTTTTCCTGAAGGTCTCTTCCATGATAACGTCTCCATTTACAGGTGTTGCGGTTATCCACGCGCTGGACTCCTGCATTGGACGCTTTCAGCTGAAGTTGATGAATAGTTCGCATTTTGCCATTGTACTCGGATGACTGACAGTTGCGGGTACACCGGGCTATTTTGAATGAGTTTCCTCTAACAAACTGGTTTTTCATCCTTCTTTGAACGGGTTTTTCGTTTGGGTATTTTACTTTGTACTTACCAACGCTTACTGAAACCGCGAACAACTGCTGTAATAACACGAAGAAGTTTTATTCAAAATTTGCTCTGTTCCCAGTTTGTAAGCAAAAACGGCACGGCGGGAGGCACAGGTTGAACTTGTTGAAGTCTTTTTTGAGTATTTTCCGCTACATTGTTCCTTTGAGATGAGAAACCCATGTTCTTTTTATACCACCCTCTTTATACTCGCCTTCAAAAATTTCCAGGGAATTTTGCAGCATTTCTCTCAAAATGAGGCTCAAAAATGCTTGTCTTGATCCAATCTTTTAAACAAGAGCAAAATTTGCTCTGCTTTCACTTCGTGAGCAAAAATTAAGGGTGAGGGAGTCTATCCTGACGAGTTTTCTGTCAGTATTTTCCGCTAACTCATTACTTTCTCGTACAATTAATCATGTCCTTTTAATACTCCAACGATTTCCGGGAACTTTGCTGACTTTTTTCCTTGTTGAAGCTCGAAACGCTGTATTGATTGTTCGTTCATGGATTGGGTGCTTCACTTTGCTCACTCCTTTCTTCTCAGGTATCCTCAGGACTTTGAGAATAGATTAGAAG